CTCCAACTCGCCCTCCCCGACAGGGTGTGGACCCCAGACGTACCGTTTATCGCCTTACCCCCTCTCTTTTTGGCAGTTGTGGGTGGGTGGGTGCTACGGGGGGTGTCCGTTCTATGTCAGTTCATGTTGCTACCCAGGTAGCGGCGGCAACCCCTTTTCCCTCCCTCCCCTTGCCTCCTTGCCTACCTGCCCTCCCTGCGAAGTCTGTTATGACGTAGTTGTGGCGATATCCGCGTAGGGAGTCAACCCCCAAGTGCTGCTCAGCACATAAGCCCCCACCCCCCTCCCCCGGCCATTCCCCCTCCCCCCCCGGCACAACTGACTCCACAATTTTCCAACAGGAGCTGGATGTGCCCGGATCCGATCACCCTGCGGTATTGACGTTACGGGATACGGACAGCGTGCAGGTATGTCTGTCTGCCTGTCGGTCGGCCCCCCCTACTCCTGGGCCCCCTCTCGACTCCATTTCCTCTCACCTTCCCCCTCCCCTTTCCCCGCACCGTAAACTGACTTGTGAATGGCCCGCTTCAACTCCAATTGAATAAAGCCGTACATCCAAACCCTCTCCCCCCCAGGAGCTCACTCGTCGCCTCCGGGGTTGTCGCCGTGTGGTACTGGCGGGTAACGGCGGCATCGCCATGGAGCTGGCTGGCGCATTGATGCAGCTACATGACCCGCTTCAGCACCCGCCGTACTTGCCACCGCCGTACTTGCCACCGCCACGGCCACCTGCACCGCCACCACCTCCAGGCGCTGCTGGCGGCGGCGGCGCCCCCACGTCGGTCGCCTCGCCGCCCTTGGGCCCCACACCCAGCGAGGTGGAACGGGCGGCGGCGGCGGCGGCGGAGGAGGAGGAGGAGGAGGAGGAGGAGGCGAATCGCTACTGGGGCGAGCGGCAACAGCGACAAGAAGACCAACGGCAACAGCAGCAGGGGCAGGGGCAGGCGCAGGGGCAGGCGCAGGGGCAGCGGGCGGAGGTGGTGTGGGTATTGAAACACGGTCACGTGGGGGATGCGTTCTTCGATCTGGATGCAGCGCAGTTCCTGCTGCAAGAGCGACTGCAGCCAGCGGCGGAAGCAGCGGCCGCGGCCCTGCCGGCCCCACCGCCGGCCCCACCGCCGGCCCACAGCGGCGGCGGCGGCAGTGGCAGCGGGCGCTGCACCTCAAGGGGGGGCAGTAGCATCAGCGCCCCTACCCGCAACCGCTCCGAGGGGGAGGGGGAGGGGGAGCGGGAGGAGGAAAGGGAGAGAAGCCGGGGGTGTGTGACGGGTCATGCCGCCGGCCCGGCATGGACGAAGGAGCTGATCCGAGGACTGGCCACGGAGAGAGAGTCGCAACCGCGGCCAGCAGCGGCAGCGATGCCCGCGGCGGCTGCGGCGGGGAGGGCCCCCGGCGGCGGCAGTAGCGGCGGCGGCAGCGGCGGTGGTGGCCCCGCCAACTTCCGGTTGGTTCTCGAATTCAGTACGACCGTCGCTCGTATTGACGCCGGTGGAGGCGATGGCGGCGGCGGCGAGGATGAGGGAACGGCAGCTGGCGGCGACAGTGTTTGGCCCGTGCATGTGACTCTTTCAAATGGAAAGGTGGGGCGCTGCGGTGGTGGACGATATTCGGTGGGGGGAGAGGGGGCCCCGGAATGGGTTTGTGTGTGTGATTGCGGATGTGGCTGAAGGGAAAAAGAGGACGTGACGGGCGGAAGAGATCAATCGCAACCCGCGTAAGCGTGCGTATGTATGTATGTGGACAGCGGAAAAGATTGAAAAGATTGCGTAGGCCAAAGAGGCTTATCCGTGTTTCATGACAGGTCGGCGTGTCGCTCTTGTTTTAAGCTCTCGAAGACGCTGACATGAGCTCGCTTCGGTTCGCACGGTAGGTAAGGCAGCAAACGTATCAGTGATGCAATGGCGGGCATTGGACTCAGTGTTGGGCGCTGTGCGGGTATAGGCGCGCATGAGACTGTGAGAGCGGCTGCTGGTACCCTCCATTCAAATACGAGTACGACTGATGTCGCGTACTCTTAGCCTAACACTAAATGGGACATCCAAAAGCTCATTGCAGCGTTGTTACAGCGTTATATCAGCAACACACGCCGCCGCTGCCGCGCGTCCGCTTCGGTACGGCCCCGTATGTTTTACGTCACAGGTGTACGGCGCGGACCTAGTGGTGTGCGGCATCGGCGTGGTGCCCGCCACCGAGTGGCTGCCCCCGGAGCTGACCCGTGGGTCAGAGGGGGGAGTGGCGGTGGACCGGCGGTTGCGGAGCAGTGACCCGCACGTGTTCGCCGCGGGGGACTGTTGCAGCGCCCAGTGGCCGGATGGGTCGCCACACTGGTTTCAAATGAGGCTGTGGACGCAGGTGCCAGGCTGCGGGATGGGTGGGGTGGGTTAAGGGTTGAAGAGGCAAGAGTGGGACGGGCCGGGGCGAAGGTTGCGGTGGCGGTTCGACGGGCGAAGGGGGATTTGCATGTGAGGCCAGCTGATATGGCCCGCGGCAGTATAGCAGCGTGCAGCAGCGGTCGGTCCGGAAAAATCCCCGGGTTTTGATTGTGGGTTCGCTGTTCTCCCCCACCCTCCCTGACCACTTTACCAATTCCCCTAACCCCCAACACCCCGCACACCCCGCCTCTCTAGGCCCGGGTGATGGGCAGCTTCGCCGCTCATTCCATGTTGCGTCCCGGGGTCGAGGAGGAGGAGGAGGAGGAGGGTGATGATAACCTGGCCTGCGGCTTCAACTTTGAGCTGTTCACCCATGTCACCCGCTTCCTAGGAGCAAAGGTACGGCTGGCGGGGGAAAGGGTATAATATCTTTTCGGGGAACGGGTCCTTGCGTGACGGCTGGCCTTGCGTGAGGCGTGCCAGCCGTCACGCTTTCATACACATGATACCGCGAATACATAGCGCTGGTTCGCGGGCTGATGGTGACGACCTTACAACAGGAAATGTGGGGCCTATTTGAACTTGACCAGACCGCACATGTGTGGCGCTGATAAAAGCATGGTTTGATGCTCGCTGCCGTCCGTACATGTGCCGTACTGTGTCCTGCCGCATCGTACTGTGCCATGCAGGTGGTGTTGCTGGGGCTTTATAACGGCCAACGGTTGGAGAACGAGCCAGCGGAGGATATCCGGATGTATAGCCGCACAAGCCCCGCTGCGGATGGAAGTGGAAACACGTTTGTCCGCGTGCTGCTGCTAAGAGGTCGTATGCAGGTAGGAGTACCAATAGGTGTAGGAGTATGTGTAGGATTAGGAGTTTGGTGAAAAATAGTGTGCTGGCCACTGTCAGGATGGGGCGGTGTACATGTGCAACGGCAATCCGTTGGGATCTGCTTTTGTTAACGAGCTTTCTGTTGAAGTGTCGTAGTGTGTGTTTTGGGTTGGTGCTCTGACGGCACTAACTGCCAACGGTGCTGCTTATGGTGAATCGCGGGTCAGGGGGTTTCACCCCCGATTCGGCCCTGTCCGGTCGCACGTCCGTCAGTCCGTCAGTCCGCCCGCCAGCCCAATCTTTAGCCATCCATGCACGCTGCTGCGCTGCTGCACGCAGGGCGCGGTCCTCATAGGGGAGACAGAGCTGGAGGAGGTAAGCGAAGAAGGCGCCGCTGAAAAGCCCGGACACCAAATTTGAAATTCGGGGAATCGTCTTGGGCCCCCTGGGGCGTACGGTACACGGTACAGAGTTAAGGTTGCGGGCAGGATCTTTGACCAATCGGAAGCACTGTACGGCATAGTTTAAACCTTGGTTCATCTTGTCTCGTCTGTTTTGCTTTCGCAGGCTCTGGAAAATGTCATATTGGATGGGCTGGATCTGTCAAGTTATGGGCCGCATATCCTAGACGAGGACTTCGAGCTGGAGCACGTCTTCGATTAGGCTGTTGTCCGGTGTGTGTCGTAGCCTACGGCCATAATAGTTGAAGAACTCTGATGATGCTAGCAAAACTGACGGACAAATTATGACCGCGCGTGATGCAAGCAGTTGATCAGCTGTCGATTCAGTTTCGGATAAGAGACGTGGTATGGCGCCAAAAATTCGAAAGTTTCGGGCAAGACGTTACATGTCGAATCCACAACCCCCAGTAGCAGTATAATTACGGGCCATGAAATTTCGGGGAATTCACTGAACGGTGATCTTGCCAGCCATGCCAACAGCCTGATGCGCCGCGCAGTGGTAGCTGTACTCGCCGGGGGTCGTCAGTCTGACGCTGTGCGTGTCGCCGTGGGTGCTCATGGGCTCATAGCGCGATATGGATTTCGCGTCGACGCCAGGCTGCGCAGGTTGGGGCAGGTGGGACATAATGGTGAGTCAGGCTGTGTCAGCACCATGCGCACCAAAACCGCAAGTCGAAAGCATCGATTGACGATTTACATTAATCGAAAATATGTCTATTTCCTGCTCAAGAGCTTCTTACCGGGACTGAATCAAAGACGACGTTATGCGGGAAGCCCGCGTTACCGACGAAGTCGACAGTCTCACCAGGCTTGACAGTCAGGGTGTCCGGAACGAAAACTGGGGCACCAGAGTCCGAGCCCACCTTAACCGTGGCGGCATCGGCAGACCGGGGGAAGGCCAGCGAGGCAAGCAACACAGCGAAGCTGCAGCATACCACGGCAGACTTAAGCGAGGCCACCTGGCGAAGTGCGCAGGTGCGGGAGGCAGAAACATGCTGAATGGTCTTCATCTTATGTGCTGTGCCTTAGACAATGCCCTTTGACCCAGTATGGACCGTTTAATTAACATTTCACAACCGGCGTAGAAAGGAACTCCAAGGTTGTTGCGACGATTGTACGGCAACAACTGTTCGACGTTCGACATTATGACGTTCTTGGTGGGGCGCAGGGAGGAGCGCTGGACGGCTACACAATCATCCGACACTGCACGACTCGACGTCACAAACTGCGAGACAAATTTGTCCGTCTTATATCTCAGCTTGCTGTGACAAGCTCCTCATCGACCCCTCCCCAGCCAGCTACTGTTCGAGCTACTGACGGCCGACAAAGTGCTCCCTGCAATGTGGTACTCGACTACTAGTTGCAAATAGTATTTGCGAAGCGGAAAGAAATGAAGTAGTGTCATCAGTGTGTGTGTGTGTGTGAGTGTGTGAGGAGCCGCGCTTAGCAGCGCGTGCGTGTGGGGCCACCTATCGGGGGCTAGCTCAAAGAGAAGGGGACTGGAGTCAGCGGCCCAGATTATATACTCTTTATTGTGTAGTCGGCACGGGAGCCGATACGATAGCTGTGGTGGTAAGCACGCGAGGAAAGCGAAATACCGAGACTGTCCAAGATTCTTGACGGAAGCTTGATGGCAGAAAGGCAAGGCAAGCGAATGGCACACGTGCGGGAAGCCTTCATCTTCCTGCCTACGTGGGTTCCCTGCAACCTCCCTCTCTCCCTCCCACCCATGCATTTCGACTTAGTGAAGGAACTCGCATGGCAGTAGAAGCGCTTAGGATATTGCATCTTGAAGTACGGGGTACGGAACGAGTACGACATATGAAGTGCCACTCACTCACTCACTCACTCACGCCAGCCGGGGCGCCTTCCCAGTCCCTGGCTGGGAGGCAACACAGCACCGCAGAAGACTGTCAACCATCCTAAGCGAGAGCCGCGCGAGAGGCGCCACACCACCTAACCAGGGCCTCTACTCTACATACTCAAAAGACGAGGCAAGGGAAGACCTACCCAGGCCAGACACGGCCCCTCAGAAGACTCTCCTAGCCCACGCAGCCAGCAAGGCAAGAAATACATGTAGGACCACGGGCCCGAGTCGCCACGCCACGAAAGCCGAGGCGCGGCTGAACAAAGAAATGAACGCACGCTGGTCCCTGAGCTGTTACCGCCGCTGGTAAGTATCACTGTAGTTGGTATAAAGATGCCACTTAAGTGAAAACTGAGCAGGTAAGTGGGATCCTAAGATAGGTCCGTTCCACGAGTGCTACAGGAGAGTAGAAGTGTGCACGTGAAAGCAAACGGTAGGCTGGGGGAACCTTTCGACCCTGTTCAAGGTCTCAAACAAAGGCTGCCCCCTCAGCTCCACATTATTCGGTTTTTTCAGTCCTACTACTCCGAAAGGTCTCTAGAGAGTCGCATGGTCGAGCTGACGTTTCTGAAGCATCTCTCAGGGTTAGGGAGGATACCGGATAATCGTGTGCTTTTCAGGGAGCTTGGTCAATGGCCCCTCCACTTTCACTTATCCACCGTTTTTGGAACAGGGGCATCCTTGTGAAAGGGACTGTGTTTCACAATGTTTTGCGTAAGGAGATGCGTCTTGCAGTGCGTTCTAATTCTACTGCCACCAACTGGGGTGCCACAATTCTAAGGGGCCTCAGGGGCCTAGGCCACTTCCCGGCGCTGCACCCGGACCTGGATGGAGAGGGCAAGGTCAACTTAAATACGTCGAACTGGAAATGTTGATTTGTTGATGACTGGCAGAGCCCACGACTTTTTGCAACACCCTCAACTGACAACCGTAAACCAGGGGTTAAGATTTGCCGGCATACCCATTGGATGGGACGTTGAAACACACGACGTGCTACATCCCTGCGAAGTTATACTTGTCACTGCTGCGGTTTCATTTAGGGGCGTGGCCTTTGAAGGTTAGCCGACCCGGCGGTCGGTCGCGCCAAGAGCGCTGATGTAGGGTCTGTGGCAGCAATAAGGCAGTAGGAGATGAGTCTCGTGTACCGCGTACAACGACCTAAGGAGGGCTTATCAACCTAGGTATACGTCAGGTTGATATAGAACCCGTCTCTGATATGAGGTCCGTCATGGAGATAGATGATCCGCGCGGACTTGCGCAGATTGTACACAACATCTGAATAGGCGACGAACGCTGAGAACTTCGTAGTAAGCCTGAGGTCGCTTACCCCAGTAGTGCTTGTTTACTATCGCACATTAGACCCAGAACCCTTCTTTTACTTTTCTGTTTCTTCATATTTCTGGCCCATGAGCCTCCTAGCTCGTCCGGGCCTTACGAGCTCTCGTGAACTTGCAATACTCCAACAATACAAGACGTCCTAGTCCTTACAGGTTTGCATCGCACCAAAATCTTCCATATTATTTTCAGAGCATTCCACATCATTTTAAAGGCCTTGCGGAAAACTGAAGCACAGTTATCAAGTGGCAATACGGTTGCCCTGACAGCAATTTACAGCACATGCTATTCGGTCCTTGCTACGTTAAACGAAGGATATTTTAAGTAAGGATCTACAGGAGTGCTATCAGGCGACATGGAGTTAAATGATCTGGGTTAACGTAGTAGGATGTCTAATCGAGAGAAGAATTGATCAAAGCCTTAATCCGCTGGGGTATGGATTGAACGTGCTGTCACATGGCAAAGGTTTAATGCAGTCTGAGGAACGTCTGGCGCCAGAGATTATACTCAAACGAATGTTACACGCCAATTCACAACCAAAAATCCAGCCACGCAAAATCTGGAATTTACTGAACAATGATCTTGCCGACCATGCCAGCACCCTGGTGCGGCTCGCAGTAGTAGCCGTACTCGCCCGGGGTAGTCAGCTTCACGCTGTACGTCTCGCCAGGGGCGTTCAGGAGGTCATCGCGAGAGATGGCATCCACGTTCACGCCAGCCTAGGAAAAATTCGTAGGGTGCAAAGGGCCGTGTCAGCATGCAAGCGAAAAAAGCCAAAATGCAGGCAAATCCCAAAGCTGAGGTATATTACTTACTGGGACGGCGTCCTCATCGAAGACAACGTTGTGCGGGAAGCCAGCGTTGTTGACGAAGTCGACGGTGTCACCAGACTTAATCGTGACGGTGGATGGCTCGAACACCAGGGCACCAGAGTCAGCACCCAGCTTCACGGTGGCAGCGTGGGCCGACAGAGTCACAGCCAGCGAAGCGACCGAGACACCAGCAACGGAGGCCACGCGGCTAACAGCGGCCTTCAGCGAGGCAACCGGGCGAACGGCGCCGGCGCGGGAGGCGGGAGCACGCAGAGTAGCCTTCATTTTTGATGATTTCGATGATACGCTGTCACCAGGTATGATTTCTGAAGTTTCACATGGCAGTTTATGGAGACGCAAGCGGTACGACGGATGAGGAGATTTCACAAGGCCCTGCAAACCACGACCTCAAACATCGGCTGCGTGCATTTTCCCTTGGATGGCATTTGTAATTGTATTCTACAAAGGGTCTTACCAATCTTCTGTAACATGTTGTCCATTATTTGTTCTTGTGCTGACTCAGGACTTGACGCCTTTCTCTACAATGGCTTAAACATCAATACGTGCTTCTGTGGACTTATTCCCTCGTGAATAATGTGCGCTGGAGAACTTGTAATCCCGCTTTCCAGCTATCTCAGCATGCCATGCGTGCAACTCGTCAAAGTACATGAATTACCGAAATGCATATACATTGTGGGTCCATGAAGTAGCACGATGCATGCTCGCTACTCTTTAAGGGCACCGAAGTTGTGCTTGAAAAGAAAGCCGCACACGCTTGCGCGCGTCATACTGAACCACCACCGCTTTCATGTTCGCAACACGTATACCTTAGGAGTTTACGGGTATGGTTCAGAAAGTCCACATGGTGAACCACGTTGGATTTCTTGGCAGTGACGCGGGGTTATCATTTGCATCCGCGACTTCTCTGCTACATGTTGCACTTGCTCCCCTTAGGGCAAGGGCGGGCCCCCGTTGACCAGGGAAGCAGTACACGCCTTGCAAACAGCTAACGGAAGGCAGCCAAAATGAAGCACATGCAATAGTGCTTAGCCGAAATTGCCCTGTTGGTAAAAAGACAGACCGCATGCAAGTCTCTTGCACTGCGCAACTCAGTTAGCAGCACGCCACGCATCAAGCGTCGCCACTTCACCAATTAAGGGCATCCGTCCGCTGAGTGCGAAAAGCAGTCAATCGCTGTTACGCCTCCCTCTCGGTGTTATACCCCCGGTCACCCCCAATCCCCCGACCCTCCGGCTACCCCAACAGTGCCGTCAGTGCTTCGACCAGAGTTGTGCTTCGACCACCGTCACACATTGTCATGCACGTTCACACTGTTCGGTATCACGTAAGGCTTTTGAAAATTATGCACAACTACAGGATGGACTCGCCACACCATCAACTGCTCGTCAAGTGCAAAACTCAGCCTATCTCGATCAAGTATTTGTCAAGTAAGCTTTGTACGTAGCATCTGAGCATCGTCAAACGTCAACGGAGAAGTGAAGTCCTTAAGCCTAAGCGCTAGTTCTGCTTAAATCTGCATGTAAGCTCGTGGTAAGCACAAACCAAATGCAAACCGGTAAGGATAAAAACGCTGGTACCGGGCAAGCTGTTTGGTATGTGGTTGGTTGTGTAAGCTCGTGGTAAGGCGCCGGCGGTCAGTGTCCGGTGAAAGCCAAGCTTCGCCCGTTGCCCATCCCATCCCATCCCTTACCACGCACATCCGGCCATTACGGGGCCAAAGCCGCAGCAACACCAGGTGGTGATTTAGCTTGAGCATGTGCACGAATATACTCAGCTAACTTGCCAATAACAGCAGCTCAGCTCTTAATCCAGCCCCCATTACACGGCCCAAAGCGCGCGAAATTCACACCAACTAAATGGATTTTTCCAGCCAATTCATAAGCGGGATGTGCAGTCTTGTCAGGCAAGGTGTGGCTCCAGCTGAGACACGACACGACATGACATGCCGCCGTTGTGCCTGCTGGCACAGCGCCACCAGCAGCCTGCACCTACGGAGGCTGAGGTTGTCACGACCCCCAGCCATGCTGCAGTGCCCTACTGGAGCATCAGGCGGCGATGATGCTCAAGCTCCTCCTCCTCCTCCTCCTGCTCACAGCTCCATGTCCGTGCCCCGTGTGTTGGGCATGAAGTGCATCCGTCGGAGCGCAAACTCCTTGCCGCGCAGGTGCAGCGACGAGACGCCCCACTGCGGGCGCAACACAAACCAAACCAAAGCAAAAGCAGTGGAGGTCGTTGAGGCGCAGTGAACCATGAACAAACAAGGGCAACTTCAAAGGCACCGCGGAGTGCGCCAACACGCGCCAACACTATTCATCTCGACCGGGAAACCCGACAGACGAGACAGTTTAACACAAGGCCCCCACGTTGCGTGTCTGGCTATCATGGAATCCCCCGCCTGCTTTCCCCCCCCCCACCTGGAAGTCCTCCCAATCGACATCCTTCTCCACGACCTCCACCAGCTCTGCGGGCTGGGGGACGCCCGTCTTTTGAAGCAAGCTGACGGGAAGCGGAGCTTTACACCGCGCAAAGGTGAAAAGATCCTGCAGGCCAGAGGGAGAGCAGGCACGCACCAACCAACAATACATCAACATGCGTGAGTCTACGCCAAAGAGCCACACAGTGCGAGACGTACGAGGCGACAAAACCACCACCGAACGACGACACATTATTGGGTCGTCCTCAGGTTGCCCCGCTGCCCCGCGCCTTTCTTGAACCCCTACCCACCCGTACCCACATTATGGCTAGATTAGATGCTAGACACAGCCCGCGGTAACAAAACTCTTCCTGCGCTTGTTGGCAATTCCCAGAAACGCAACCACTCCGTCCCTAACGTCTTAAAGCATGTGTGACATGGCAGCTATGAACTCTAAGTTCACATGCCCGCCGTGCGCACCTTGCCCTTTGGGTCATCACTCGTGGAGACGCAGCACAACTGGTAGCGCTCACTGCGGCGCACAGCACAGGAAGGGAGGACAAGGGCGAGAGATGGCTCTCGGGGGTGCTACAGGACAAGACAGGAGTAGCAAGTAAACGCCCTCCTAGAGTACGACGACGCTGACCGGGCTCAGGCTGACAGTCCATTGCACCATATGTATGCATACGAGAGGAACTGGTCGCATGCCGCACACACGGCATATATATGGAGCAATTCTCCGCTGAGGACCCGCCGCTGCTGCCGGCCGGTCCCTTCTCCCTTTGGAAACATCGTCACGATTGCCCATGACCAGCACCGCCATCGCCGTCCCCATCCCTAGAGCCGCCAACACAGGTCTAGAGAGAAATCCATGGCGCTGCGTCGGTCCCTCCTCTGCCTCATGCCGGTCCCCTCCCATTACAGGGCCGCAGCCGTAGCCCCGTCCATACCCGTATCCAGTACACCCGGCACCCCGTGTGTGTGCCCACACACCAGCGCCACCAACTGGGGGTGGACAGGACGCCTCTGGCACCTCCCGAGCAAAGGCCCATAAGAGCACCCTTCACCACGGGAGCAGGGTGCACCTCCCTCCCTCCCGCTACCCTCCCCTGCCCCCGCACCGATAACACGCCGTGCAGGTGCAAAACAAAATGCTCCCGACACGGCCGCCCCTCCTCCGCAGTCTCTCCGCACCTGTTCGTTTCCAAGAACAGCACCTCGCTACGCAGCCGGGCGCTGGTCCACCCCGGGTGCTTCATGCCCTTATCCGCTATGGCGGACAGCGTGTACTTGAGCCACGGCTCGTTGCACAAATTGAACTGAATGGATACCTCCTGGCTGATCCTGGACATACACACACGCATACACGCACACACACGCGCGCACCGAGAGAAATGGCATACGGCGCACACGGTGATTGTTGAAGCAGCGCCCCCTCCGCCAATGCTAAGGCGCACAAGATCAGACTTGGGTGATGGTTGTGTGTGCGCTGCATCGATCCTCCCCCTCCCCTACCCCTTCCCTTCCCCGGCCAAGGGTGGGCATACGGCCAGAGGGGCCCACGGGACCCTTCAATCGAACGACCTGAGGCCCTGCCCAAACCCCGGTGGGCCTCCCACTCCAGCCAGCTTCTCCGCGGTGCCCAATCACCGGTGGTCCAGCCAGCATCACAACCTTCCCCTCCAATATCCGTGCATGGCTCGCACACAGGAAGCCGGACAGCGGCGGTTTCAGACAGCGGCGCGAAGTCGCTTTCCTCCTCGTTCGTGCCTAAGACCCAGCCGACCGCGTGTCGCAAGCCCAAGCACCGGCACCATATACCCCACCGAACCCCCCCCAAAAAACCCACGCGGGCCCCAACACGTACTTGCTCTTGGCGCCCGTCGTGCGCGTGGTGATCTGCCGGTCCGACACCATGGGCTGTACGGTGGGGTACGGCGCTGGCACCTCATCCACGCAGGGTTGCAAGTCAATGGTGGCCCCGCTGCGGGTCGTCAACCAGCACCGCTCCACCTGAAGTCCGGGAAGGGGGCGGGACGGGAGCACACTACTGCGAGTCCAGAGCTGATCATGGGGCCGGGGGGCGAAGTGGATGTGTTTTCTGACATGCCGCAGGCCACATGGTGAGGTGAGGCGGAAGAGGGTCCTGGGGGTTCATGCTCTCCCCGCTGCGCAGCCGCTGGCACGGGGGCCGCCCATCAGGCCAGCGTCAGCGATGGGTTCACCCGCAAGCGATGAGGAACACGGCCTGGCGGACCACCGAGCGGCCGCATACCTCCCGACATAATGCTGTGCTGTCGCGGGGCCGACATGCTGTTAGGGTGCTGTTAGGAGGGCAACCAATGGAGGGCAACCGGCACTGGGACCGGAGCTGATGTTGCTGCGGCGGCTGCAGTAGCTTTAGCTGTGGCAAGTACTTTTGCTAATATGGCGCTGTGCAGCCAACGCCTCGCTTGCTGACAGAAGCATCGTTTTACTGTTGCCGTGCGTCGTCGAGTCCCTATACTCTTACTAGGGTTATGAGGTTGCGTCGAGAGTGGTCGTTCCCCTCCTAAGCAGCACTGGCATTGAGGAGTTGTAGGGCGGCCAGACCCGTACCTGGTACGAGCAACCATCGCCTGGGGAGCACCAGAGCCGTGACTTTACAAACCGTGCCCGGGAGTTGTACTTCTCCTGGGGCGGCAACAGCTTCAGCAGCGCCCGGAATTCCGCAACCGTGTTTGGCGGGTGCGAGAGATAATGTGCGTAGAATCCCAAGTGCATCAGAACTGCTACCAGGTCCGAATCTGCGGTGTATACCGTGTCCCCCCATATTTGTCGAGCTTTGACCTGCGTGAAGCATCCCGCCGGGGAAAATGCCACGAGGTCATGATGCATGCAGTAGGTATGAACGCGTTAACGGGTGAATCGATGAACCGGCAATGAGTGGCATGTCCATCATCGCGTGCATTTTGAGGTTCCCTTTTCATTCCCGGTAAGCCAAATTCCTTGGTGCCATGGTCCACCCGGAATGGCATGGTGTAAGAAACCTGGGAAACGAAACGCCTCTTCTTTTACGTGCAATTGACCATCAACAGGTCTGGAACGCAGCTACACAGCCCGCAGCATTGCGCTCCAATTTTGAGATAATAATAGTACTTACTCGTTTGTTGTCCTTAGTCATGTGCTCAGGCGCTATTACAACCTGCAAGCGACATCGACCCAACAGACTATTGGTCAGCCGTGACACGCAGGCTTTTGCAGGTGCAATCCACTGACCTCGACCGTTTGTTCTCCTTTCTTGTAAAGTTCTTGAAGGCTTGGCAGTGGCTCATCTGCTCGATATGCTATGATAGGCCATCGCCCACCGTCTGCAAGCAGCAACAAACGTCAAGTCCGAATCTTAGACTATGTACAAGCTGAACGACACCATGTAGCTATGTTGAACGCCGTCTCCCAACTTGACCAATGCTTGCTCACCTCTGCGCGACATTCTTTTCCCAAGACAGCTCGTTGCGCAACCGTGTCAAGAGCGACCACTCCCAACAACCTGAAAGAAGAAAAATCACAGCGAAGATACACAAGAGTGCTCCGCTAGGAACGGCTAATTGTCTTCCTCCAGCTGACGGCTAACCCGAAACACTCGTATCGAGACGTCTTGACAAACCAGCAGGTTCCCAACCAGGCATTGTTGCATGAGTTTCAATATAACAGTCAACAAACCCTATTCTAAACCATACCATATGTACCATAACCCGATTAACAGTACTCAAGAGAAGCATGTTTACAGCCACTACACCTCCTCAGCGGCTAACTGCCAAAGACGAGTTAAACATATCGGTTCAGACACACTCCAATACCTTCCTTCTACAATGCTCACCGAAGCTGGGCCCAAGGGCTATCCACGAGGCCGCCGCTCGCCCACGTAGCTCTTCGGTTGGGCTGCCTTCCGGATGTAGATCTGCTAGGGTTTAACGTTCATTTGCATGTGATGGACTGACGAACACTTGGACAAAGCAGAGCAATCCCGCCGATTCAACACGGAGTGAATCCTAAGCAACCATGCAAGAAGGTGTGCTGATGTATATAATATTAACGCAAAGCACAGCATGAGAATGGCGACGCAAGACCAATTGATGCATAGCCAAAAGAGGGATGCACATGGGGATGCTTCGAAACCGTACGTCTACGTTTTGTTTAAGGACTTGCTCCCAAGAAGCAGCTATAAGCATGGCACCTTCTTCAAAAGCAGCGCTTTACAGGTCGTTCATCCTGCCTTAAACGCATGCCACGCTCTTACTGTTGTGTGTCTCCTGATCGACACCAGTTTTTGCGCGACGTATGGATTTAGCATAGCCTGACAGTACCGGCGTTGACTACATAGGCCATGTGTGCTGTTCCATTTCTGCGGTAATCTTGTCGAAAGGCCAACCGCAATACCGAGAGGTTATTCGCAAATGCCGCCATACTCAAATCTGCAGCTTCTGAAGCTGCATTACAGAGAGTTTTTACGCAAGACAGCAGCCTACCATCGTGGCGATGGTGGCGACGCTTGCGCACATACATATTACGTTGAACGCGCGTGGTCGGAAGCTTCATTTGAGGATTCCCTCACTAAGCTGTCCCAGGTTCTCTCAACAGTGGATATTGCAGAATTGCGTGCATCGTATCATGCGCGCAAAGAACGTGCGAAGGAGCGGCTGCGCCGAGCGTTTGATGCTAAACTTTCGCGCCTGGGCAATTTCCTCAACAGCGTAGACGAGTCTTCCTCCAGCAATTCCAAGGAGGCATTCCTTTCATCTCCACGCGGTGTTTTACCGCAACTCCCCACGGAGGAAAGTGTAGCTTCAGTTGAGCGCCGCGACCTGGTAGCAAGCACCAGCGGCACCAGTTCAGACCTTCAGCAGCTTTACGGCACGAACGGCTTCCTGAGGGTGAGTGCTTACTTTCGTAAGTCATACCTGACTTGTGGTATGACACGAGGGTGTTCCGAAGGGGGCGACAATCCATGAGCTAAGCCTGCTGCTTCGAAATGATGCGTGGAGTTGACAGTACCATTCCGTTTTGGGTAGTATCGGATAAGAGTTGTAATGCGATACAGTGGATGCGCTGCGATGATGATCGGCGTGCAGGGAGCAAGGGAGTCTTTAGTCCTGGTCGCCATGGGTTCAGCACCAGCGCTACAGACTTGTGTCCCATGTTCCTCCTTTTTCCATTTCATTGCTACTCGTCACCCCAAAATCCCTCGCACAATCCCACACCAACCCCCCTTTGTCTTATCCCTCAGCGTACTGTGCTGTACCTTCTGGGCAACGCAGCGCGCACCTACATGACCAATCTCAACGCAACGCGGGTGGAGGGAATGGAATCAATGGCTGCAGCCCTGCAGCGACCCGCGGGTCAGGCTCTCATCACGGTGTCCAACCACGTGGCCGCGCTGGACGATCCGCTGGTGGTTTCAGCGCTACTGCCCGAGGGCGCCTTGGAGCGGCCGGAAAGTATCAGGTGCTGCGGGGGCTTTGGAGGGGGGGGGCCACAGAACGTCATAGGTGTCCCGCAGGGGCTAGCACAGGACTTAGGGACTTGGCGCCGCGAGGTTACGGTTGAGGACCCCATCGGCACCCCCAAGGTGCACTTAACTATATTAACTGGGGCTGGTGTGGGTTAGGTCGTTTTTAGCGACTCTACCGCTTTAGAGGTTTACCAGCCACCGGAGAGTTTCCGTTCACGGCTGGCATCATCCACACCAGCAGGCGTTAATCTTGGAGGGTGGGATTGAGTGGTTGTTGCAGGAAGAAGTTGATCGGGACTATCTGGCCTGCCATTATTATTGGGAGTCTACGTGGTGCCGTGTGTGTCCTGCTGTGCTATTGGCATGGTTGCAGTAGTATAGACGGGTGCTCGGACGACACCCGCTGAATAGGGGTAAGCCATCCCATAAGCCATCTCATTACCCTACCTCGCGCATCCATCCTTCCATCCGTCTTTTCGGTCTGGGTCAATCCGACTTTGTTACCACTTCCAAACCGCTCAGGTGGACTCTCTGCGCCACCGACCGCTGCTTCCGCTACCGGGCGCTGGTGCCGCTGTTCCGCGCTGCCAAGGTGCTACCGGTGGTGCGTGGTGGCGGCATGGCGCAGCCGGGCATGGCAGCAGCGGAGGCGCGCCTCGCGGCCGGCGAGTGGGTGCACATATTTCCCGAGGGGACTCGCTCGCCGGACGGCGTGACGCTGGGCTCGGTGCGTAAGGGTGTTGGCCGGCTGGTGGCTTCGGTACCGGCAGACGCGCCGCCGCCGCTTGTCGTGCCATTCGTGCACCGAGGCATGGAGGACGTGATGCCACGTGGCGCAGTGTTACCGGCTGTGGGCCAGCAGGTAGGTGGGGCTGAGAGGTGCCCATGTAAGTGAGAGCAGGAGGGCGCGCAGAGCGGCTGGGGCAGAGAGTTCTTTACCTTATGTATGAATGTGTGGGTGGGTAGGTAGGAGGCTATTATGCAGGTGCAGGCGGGGGGGAAAGGGTAGGCTGGGCGGCTGGTGGGTGGCGGATCTCTGTGAAGCCTTGCACGTCGCGGCTAGGTGGTCGGTTGCTGCAAGCTTTACAATACTTCTGTTGTGGGACTTCTGGGAAATTACTCTATGAAATGATGCCCCCGGTATGCCCTCCCGCTTTCCATCTGTACCGTCCTTCCTCCAGATTGACGTCCTGGTGGGGGCGCCCATTCCTGTTGCCGACATTCTCTCTGCGGCACGTGCTGAGGGCTGGTCAGCGGACCGCCTGCACACGGCCGTTGCAGCACGCGTGGCGCACGGCCTCAAGGACCTGCGACGCCGACTAGACGCGCGGCGCGCGGGGCTGCCGGATCCCGGACCCAGCCCCCCCGAGCCCCTTTCCACTTGCTCCGTTAGCATTTTGGACCAGTTCGATCACTCGGACCTGGCGCTGGCGGCCCGCCTGCGAGATGAGCGCCGCCGTGGCAGTCGTGGCGGCGGCGTGTCGGCGACTTGGGAGCGACTCAAGTCCCGAATGGCACTCCAGCATCGAACATGGGCGACGCAGGGCGTGGCAGCGGCGGCGGTAGCGCCGACCGCGACGCTGGCACCAGCAGCGAACGGGCCTGTTCCCGGGACTTGTTGTTCAACAAGAGCGGGGGACTCAGTTGGAGGGACGGCGGCGGGCGGGGGGGGAAGGTCCGGTGGGCTGTGGACGGGTGCGGGAGTGAGTGCATGGTCCTTCTCTTCGCCGTACATGCAAGAGCTTTTCGGGACGGGCGTGGGGCAGGGCGCTGGGCTGGTGCGCCAGGGGGGAGAACCCCATGTAGCGGCGGTGGGCCCGGGTGGCCCGGTAGCTGAGGGGCCGGGGCGATGGTGGCCCCGGGCCGGTGTTTCAGCGAGTGGACGTACCCTTGACCCCGTGGTGGCGTTTTGACGTTCACTCGGCACGGTGACGCGCTCACATTTGCTTTTGCTTCCAGGGTAGGAAAGCGGCCGACGGGTTTGACGCGCTGCACATTGCATAGCGGGTGTGCAGAAGTTTTGTGTATGAACATATGATTGCACGATTAATAGCTGTTGTGAAGGTGGGTGCGGATTCAGTATACACACCTGCTGCTGCAGTTACATTGCGGCAGGGCTAGGCAGGGGTGTCTGGATGTGTTGAACGGTCGGCAGCATTTTGTGCTCCGGGTGAATGTGGGGATTATAGCATACAGCCTGTCGGCTGACAAGCCTACAATCGACAGGCTATGGTTGTCGGTTGCATGGAATGGCTCAGCACGAGCAGGTCCTGTCGGCATCCCTTCCACATTGCGGCGCGGGTTCTGCTGGCGAGTGTGGTTGCGGCTTTATAATAAGCTTGGCGGAATATGGAGGCGTGGCAGTTCGCGACGGGAGGATGTGTTGGCGGGGATGCAAGCCCAGACCGGGGTGCCAGGAGGCGCCAACTGGTGCGCCAACTGAGGCTAGGTGCGTGTGGTCGTAACAACGCAGCTCGTCCTTCGCATCGGCGATAGCGCGCCGCGTACGTATATGGGATGACAGCTCAGTAAAGGGAGAGGGATGGCCTCCGATAATTGAGATGGCTTCCGAAATATTTTTAGATGCTTGCGAGTGGCATGGTCAAATGTCACGCGTTGCGTCTTCCCCCATATAAGCTGACGGACTTACAACCCACAAGACAAGCAATACCTTTGAGGTGGCATGTTATGGGTGGTACAGGGAGTTGTAGCGTCTGCAGAGTCCGCGACTCATCAGCAGGGCGCAGCAGCATTTTTGATGATGGCGTTCATCGACCAGACGATGAGCGCGTCTACAGAACTTTTTTCATTGCCGCATTTTTGCTGTGGTGCGAGCGTTAGCTTTGATGCAGTATGTCGTCGTGTCGCCACACCCGTGTGATAGAACCTGACTAAACGAAGTTTTTGCTGCAAGGAATTCTTCGTCCACATGCAGGAATTCGCTCTTGCCTCTGATATGTTGCGCCGGTTATTATCCAAGTTATCGCAACGGTAATCATGCTTCGCAGTCATAGGCAGTTGTTAGTTGGTTACCGACGAGGTCACATAAAACCCGGCTTCTACTCTTTAGATACCATATTACAGGTCAAAAGACAAAATTGTGTGGTCTTCGAGGCTATACAACGAGTCAACACTATTTCCAGAGCTTATACATCAGAAAATGCTTTCATCGCATGAATACTTTTTTCAACTAAACACCGCACACACCTGCTTGCAAAATATGAAAACAAACCACATCATCAGACCAACCGCCAACATTTTATATCTCCTTTTATCACGCTGTCGCGTGGCGGGTGATCACACGCCGCACTCAGCAGCCGTATTCCTTAAATCCAACTTTCAACCATTGATAAACTGCCTGCCTACTCGTTGGCCATTTCTTCCGCCAAATTTCCGAGCTAGGGCCGGCCCTTCACCCCAAGCCTAGCATCCGATTATATCATCATAACGCCCCCACAACATAGCAACAGTATGCAGCATACAACATCCCGCAGCCTAGGTCAACATAGCCTTGCCCACTGGGAAACTCAGCAGCGCACATGACTTCGCGACTGCCCCGGCTGCATTACCACCGCCACCAAAACGACAAAACATAATAAACATCCTCCTCTTCGAATGAGGAGGGCATGAAATTAGTTATTGGCAAGGCAAGTGGCAAGTGGCCCGAGCACCAGAAAAAGCGCTTGCGGCCGCCGCGTAGCACCAGTACCAGCAACGAACAACAGCAGCGCCACCAACAGCAGCAGCAGCACACGAAGAAGCCCTGACCCGCAGGACCTGCCCCGACGCAAGGTGTTCGCCGCCACGCACCGCCACGCAGCGCGGCGACGCCTTTTTTGTCCTTGACTGCCGCCCAAAGATTGACTGCCGCCCAAAGAGGGAGGATAAGACGACAACTGACTGACACGACGCCAGCGCGCTCCTTGTCCTCCTTGCCTCTACGTATTAGAAATATAGCTATATGCTGTGGGGGTCAGGTTCCGCTTTTCCCCCTCCCCCGTTGCCCCATCATCTCGACCCCAGATGCACGTGCGCCGTGCACTTCCGTGCCTTTTAGAAACAGACGCGACATATGACCATATAACCGCTCGCGCGGGGGGCCAACACCACGCCACGCCGCGCCACACATCACTCCAACCCTACCTGCGGCCAAGGAGGAATCGACACTCCTACAAGGCTGCTTTGCTCGAACGCTTGTACCGTACCTTGTCGTACGACACATCTTAGGTCAGCGCTCGCACATAATTGCGTGTCAAGCAAAACAGCGCCCCCCATCGGCGGGGTTCTGTGGGGCCGTAGTTAGGTGGGAAGGCGGGATACCGACACGGCGGCGCAGCTGCTGCTGCCGCTGCCGTACTCAGCGCGCGAATCCCGTTCGGGAAAGCATGTACGTATGTATGATGTGTGAAACAGAGGGGTGTATCTTCGCCCGTGGCAGCTACCCTGCGAAACCCTGCCTTCCCCGGTATTTCGGGGCACCCTCATCCAGTCACCCTAGTCAACTTCTCAGTGGATCGCTCAGGTTCCGCACCCACCACCGGCATCCAACGGCATCTGCCGGGTCGACAGCGGCCCAACTCCATTCCTGGTCGGCTCGCAGGTTAACTTTATCCCAGGTCTCCACCGTCCATCAACTAGGGGCGCTATGCCTTCGACCATCGGAAGGACTTTTGACCCTAATGGGTATCGACCCCGGGATCTCCCGGGGGCAATGGTCGCGCCTTACCAGTAGTGCCAAACCCAGTAGTGCCAAACCCGTATGTATGTATGCATGGGCCCATGCGCACATGCAACCGCATCAAGGACGGCCCTCCAAAACCAGGGTGGGGAACCGCGACAACCGCGCCGCCTCATAGAGAGCATAATAACAATAAAGATGCATTAATTCCCTCACTGCGGCGCTAGCCACTCCCTAGTGGCCCCCTAGCACGGGTAGAGACCATACACAACACACACGGTTAGAGACCATACTCTCCACTTCCCGGACGAAGGCCCCGATGATCCGTACCTAGCAGTGTAACGTCTTCTCTTCAAGGAGTTGTCAAAACGTCATGAGACGTCCGCGGCACATCAATCACCGCCCGGTGTGTATAGCACCCGATTATTGTCTCTGAACCGCAGGTCGCCGCGAAACAAAGGGAAAACCTGCGACTCCTGCTCGTAGCAAACGTAACAGTCTCGAATAATAATAATTGTGTTTCTCTGCGGACACGGCCACATACACACCCGTTGCTCAGCCACCCACCCAGCGCCCTGCAATGGGGCCCCCCTCCAAGAAGCGGACATGCAACGATGTTTTCACGTGTGATATACTGACCGGACATTCCTTACCCGGAGCCCGCAGCCCTGCACCCGCCGGCAATAAACTGACGAGCCCGCAGTGCCCCCAGCCCCAGCCCCTTCCGTTCCATCAAAAGCGCGAAAACATGGACGGGAGTAGACGGGTCCTGATATGATACGTTTGGTAATTTTGAGGGTCACGGACACAAACGGTACGCAAGGCGAATGTGGACAGGCGCCATAGCCTCGGCTCCATAAGCACATCGCCACTACGCCGAAAACACTTTTCCATGGAAGTGTCTGACGATACGGCACTCAAATCCGAGACGAACCAAGTTCACAATACAATACACAGCCCAACCGCTGGTGCCGTACGCACCTTACGCAGGACCAGCAATGGGCCAGGACAGCCAGTCGTGGAACCCAATGCCAGCTACTGGCAATTGCACATGTACTCCCTAACCTGGAAGAAACGCCAACGACCTCCCGCACCACCCCTCTCCCCACGCGGCACTAAAGGTGCGCCCATTGTCAAGATTGACTTCCGGACTGCCTCGTCGTCGTCGCGCTGGGAGAGGGAGATGAGATAGAGAGAGGAGGACGTCATCAAGGGCGTGCGAAAAAACACAACATGCGATAACACCGAGGAGGATTACGGACACAGAAGCGCCGTTCGGCCGCATCGACAACCGAGCGCTGGGCAGTAGTGTATGGTAGCACGATTGCACACAAATTTGAAGAGCACAAAATAGCGTCGAGACCAAGGCTGCGGCAAGCCGCGATCAGCCCGCCGAGCCACATTAGGGGGCTGGCGTACTTACCCTCGCCCGCGAGCTTGACCCTCTCCAAATTGGACGCGAGACAGGACGCATATATTCAGAAGCGTATATTGAGGCGCACAGGCATGAAAGCTTGTAGTGGAGGCTGTCAACAACACGAGGCCTCCTGGCTTTGCAAACCCCGCGCCAAGCTGACATAAACACGGACGGACAGGCTTGGCGCGCAAATTCCTGCGCATTGTCACCCCCCCCCCCCACACACACACATTCAGGCCTCTAAGGGCCGTTGAAGGTAACAATCCAGGTAGCCAATACCCAGCCAATTACAGACCACCCACATGAACAATCATACTGCTCGGACCCACCCACGAAGGTTGAGCTTTCCTACGAGGGGTGAAACTTTGCCCTTAGGTACAACCTTAGTGTACCCAAACCCAACAAAACCCTAAGTCCTAATAACCTCCTTTCCCAAGTGTGTTCATTCATCCGGGAAAAGCAGCGCCGATGCCGCGCGCTTAAGAGGCCCCAATAACACCCTCTTCCTCAACCGCTGAAGGCGTGGCGCGATTTCCATTTTGGCGCATATGCGTGAACTTGTAGTAAACAGCCAGCACGGCCTGGGCCAGTTCTGAAAACGGCTGAAGTCTAGTAGTGCCTCTCTATCAGGAAGATGCGGCGGTCAGACAAATGACAGTGTGCGGCGGCGCTCCTCCACTCGGCCTCGTCGTCGTTTAGCTCCGAGTACTCGTCGGGCAGTGTTCGTCCGCCCGAATGCATTTCTCCCTTCAAAAAACACGCGTCGCTCCCCCCTCCCCCCCTCCCTAGCGCTCTTCTTTCTCTTTCCTACTCTGATGTGTGTAGCTATAGCTTCAGGCGCCACCAGATACCGCAGCAGCATGGTCACAAAGAAACAAAAGAACTTTCAGCAGTGGCAGCAGCGCAGCATCTGTATCACCCCCATATCTATCTATAGCCGCATCCGTAGCCACCTACCTTGAGGGCTCTTGCTGACCCTCATCATGCCCGCGCCTCTCCGAGCTAAATAAAGCAAAGCTCATATTTCATCATGAAAATGTTACCTTTTTCCAACCGGTCCCAGTGCAATGCGCCTGGACCTCAACACATACTGCGCTTCACTAACCAGAATCTCAGCAACATAAACCATATATTATGGCCGCTGTACAGAAAAGCCGTAACTTGAAGCGTAGCCCTAATCACCCCGATTTGGTTTTGCCCATTGCCAAGCCATACGCCATGCAATAATAAGAATATGCGCGGTGCACAGTTACAGCGCGTTACTATGGCGCCCACACATCCGCCCAAAGCTGGCTTTCGGTCCACCCCAAAAAACGCCATACAGCTGTAAGAAAGCCGATTTCAGCAGTTCCCCCGAAAACCAAAAGCCACCGCAGGATACGTCACACAGCTGCGAGAGGGCTGCTCGGTGCTCTAGTGGCGGCCGATGGCGGCGGCACCTCCGGAGGACGGACGGTACTGGTCAGTCAAGATGGAGTCCAGGAGGCTCAACTGCGCCGCCGAAAACTGAGACCTGTCAGTGCCGTACATGATGGGTCGGTCCAGGACGGAGAGGCGCGGCTGTAGCTGCTGCTGCGGCGGCGGCGGCGCTAGAGGCTGCGTTTGTATGTGCTGGTGCTGCGCCTGCTGCAGGAAGCATGCGGATGCGATAGCCGGCAAGGACTGCGGCGCCGCCAGCAGTTGTTGCGGCCCTAGCACCTGGAGCTGGTGTTGGTGTTGGTGTTGGGGCAGCGCAGCGGATGAGGGGGGGGGCTGCAGCGCTCCGGACGGGTTCTGCACCCCGGTGGTGTGCTGCATCACCACCACTTGGCCACTCGGCTGCAGCACAGACGGGGGACGCGCACCCGGCACTGGCACACAATCCGGCATCGTCGAAACGCCGTCATTCATGGATTCAGCCGACTCATCCATGTCCTCGTTCATGCTCTGCATGAAATGGCATTAAAAACGGGCAGGCAGAAAGCGTGAGGATACATCAGGCAGCACATCACCCGCTGAGACAAAACTCCAAGCAAAGCAACGCAACATGTGCGCACCGGCTTGGACCACGTCCTAGCAGCTGCAATGTGCTGGGTCGCAATGTGCGTGTGTGCAATGTCGCCCTCACGGCTTTGGTCCATATGGATCCTCTGAAATAAATAGATACTACTCACATGACCGCCGTTGCTCAAGCCACCAGATAATTGAGGCAGCTCATCGAAGCCCAGCGCCGCCAAATCATGCTCCGTAATGTCGCAGTCGTGTCCGGCAGCTCCCAGTCCGCCCTGAGCCGCAGCCGCCGCGCCCGTGGCGATGACAGTCGTGCTGCAGGTGTTCGCGGTATTGTTACAAGACCCTAGCAATCCTGTCTGCATTGAATCGACCATGCGCGCCACATCCGCCATGCTGCTGCTCTGCGCGCGCTGAAGCCGCTGGGAGCAGTCTTGCAGTAGCAGCTGCTGCTGCTGCTGCTGGGGCTCGACCCTGGCCTGATCCGTGATCATAGCGGAAGTAAACCCGCACACTGCCCCTAGGGCGCCAGCAGCTGCCGCCGCCGCCGCCTCGGTGGCCGTTGCCGTTGCCCCCTCACTTGTGGCGGCACCACCAGCCGGTCCCGGTCCCGTGCCCGCCTCCTGGCTAGAGCTGGACGCCTGGCGCATCGGGAAAGAGCCTGCGGTCGGCAGCACTAAGGGCGATTGTCCCTCGCTGATGCCCTCCTCGTCGATGCGCTGCATGTGGGGCTGCGGGGCAGCATGCGCGTGGTGGCCATGCAGCCCCCAGCCGCCGCCGCCGCCGCCGCCGCTGCCGCCGCTGCCGCCGGGTCCGTGGAAGGCCACTCCCGCCGGCGCAGTACATGCGCTGGCGGAGGCGACACTGCCAGTGGTAGTCGCATTGTTGCCCGAAGAGGAAGCGGGCAGGCAGGCGGCAGAGCCGAATTCCAGGAGCGTGTCGCTGCTGTTGACTTTGGCAAATCGGCCCCGGACGCGCGGCCGCGTGTCTGCCATCTGTTTGCGACATTCGTATCGCACCTTCTTGGCGCCCTCCGCGAGCGCGCGCATCCGCAACATGCGCTTTTGCCTGTAAGGCAGCGGGCGGCGCGGTTTATCGAGGTGGCGGGTGCGGGGCCAGGGGCATGAGTAAACCATGTATATATTCATAGGACCGCGGCAAGCGTTAAAGCTGAGACTCCCCCAAAGACCCTGGGCCCAATCCTGTCCATCCCTCCGAAGCCATTGTTACCCATCACTTGAGGCACCTATTATCAGGTGGCAGGCAAACAGGCGTGTGCAACAAGCCGTCAATTCCCAGGAGTGCTTCTTCCCCGCCTTATCACACATCCCCTGCCGGGCGCCTTTGGCAGCCCCCCTTCCCACCCTTGGCTACCGCTCTTGGTATATGGGCCTTCTATCAATGGAGGGTAACGCAATGAATTATTGCACACATTGCATCGCGGCTCAGATTTTTATTTTGAACATAGACGCACACATTTCCCACTCCATCCGCATCCTTCAAATCAGGACCGGCCCGTCATTGCAAGTGTGTGTTCCCCCGCGGCAACCCACTTGTACCGGTTCAGCTGCGCCGCCCTCTCCGGGTCCAACTCCTTCAACGTCCCGTCCGGGCGTTCCAGCAACGTCAACAGACCAGCCGCGTCAGAGTCCAGGCCCAACATCCCCAGACTGTTGCCCAGCGAGTTGCCCGTCACCGTCGCCGCCGCGCCAATCAGCCCATCGAAGCCGTCGCTGCTCATCCGCATCAAGTGCGACTCGCTCAGATCACAGGAGCCCATAGTTACACTCGCCGCGAGTCCCAGCGCCGGCGGGGCGCTACCCGGAAGCACCATCTGCTGGGCCAGCTGTTGCGCGGTCAGCGGCACGTGGCGCTCTGCAACAGCCCCCGCCAGCGTGTTGCAATTGGACGGGCTCACGGATGTGGAGCCGCCGCTGCCCACGACCGAAGTCGGCAAGGCGCCAAAGCTGCTGGCAGCAGCAGCGTCGAGGGAGCGAGCGCCAGGAAGAGGCTGCGGAGCAGCAGCAGCAGCTGCAGCCATCGCCGCCGTTGGTCCGCCAGGTGCCGCACCCGGTAGCAGTCCGACTCCGAAAGGGTTACCGGGGGCCACCCTGCCGGCAGCAGCAGCAGCAACCGCTGCGATGCTCGACGGGTTCATTCCGCTACCCGACAGGTTATCCAGCAAGCTGCACGATGACGAGGCGAAAGCTGTCCCGGGAACCGGCAGCAGCGACATGGGGCTCTGCGCCAGGGAGCGGCCACGGCCAATACCTGGGTCTAATAGGCCCAGACCGCCCCGCACGGTCGCATCCCGGCGCGCGGACGCGAACGCCGTCACCCCTCCCGCGGCGGTCCCAATGCTGATGGGGGAGGTGCGGGGCAGGTCTTCTGTCATCGCACGTTGCAGCAGCTGCTGCATCGCCTGCTTCTGCTGTTGTTGCTGCTGCTGAGCAGCCGCCAGCGCCGCAGCTACCTGCTGCTGTTGCTGCTTCTGCTGGAGATACTGCAGCGCGGTCTGCTGCTGTTGTTGTTGCAGCTGTTGCAGCTGCCGCTGGGTTGCCTCAATGCTGGCCCAGCCTGCGGCGGCCGCTCCAACTCCCGCACCACCGCCACCACCTGATGTCGGCGCCATGGGGCCCGCGACGGTCATCATGGGCAACCCGCAGGTTGCCATCCCGGTCATTTGCTGATCCAGCGACTGCAGCAAAAGCGTATTGCTGCTGCGCGCTGAGCCCAGCTGTTGGCCATCTGTATTGTTGCTGGAGAGGCCGCTCTGCGACAGACACGAGAGTCCACTTAATGACCGCGCGGTGGTGATCTGCTGGCGCTGCTGAGTAGGAACTGCCATCGGTTCCGATAATTGAACAGCAAAGGCACTTGGCTGGGCCAGACAGCCAGCCGCTGCCGCAGCTATAGCCGCAGCGTTCACCTGCACCTGCCGCTGCTGCTGCTGGAGCTGCTCCTGCAAAAGTTGTTGCTGCTGCTGGAAAAGCGTGTGCTGCTGTTGCTGCTGCTGCTGCACCTGGGCTTGATGCGCCAGAGGCGCCCAGACCGAAGACATGTTCAGAGTGTTTCCCAGGGTCGCCGGTGCACCAGCAGCAGCAGCAGCACCTCCTGTCGCGGCCACTGCCGCAGACGGCATGGACGTCATGCACATCGCACTCGCCTGAGATTGGAGGAGCTCCGCAGCAACAATCTGCTGTTGCTGCTGAGTAGCCGCCATGAATTGCTGTTGCTGCGCCGAGGATTCCTGCTGCGGCAGGACCTGCGATTGCTGCTGCTGTTGCTGCTGCTGCACCGCATCTCCATTGCGTTTATTACTATTATCTTGCAATTGATCAAGCGGTGCCCCGAAGGTGTCCAGCAGCATTGCCACGTCCATGCTATCAACTGCATCCATTAGCTCCTGGCTGGCTGCCCGCTGCAGCGTGTGCTGGGAGTGCTGGGACTGAGCGGCCTGGGAGATGTGCTGCTGCTGCTGCTGCGGTGGCGGTGGCGCGGCTGTTGCAGCTGCTGTGGTGGTGGTGGTGGATGCCTGCACGCCCTGCACACTGCACCGCTCCGGGCCGGGTTGCGGAGGACGCTGTACTGCGGCGTTCGCGGCTGCCTGCAGGCTGCCACCACTGCAGGCCGAGAAAGGGGATATGGAAAACAGTGCTGCGGCGGCGCGGGCGCCCTCCGCCGGTTCCATGCCTTGCGACATGGACAAGCAGCCGAGGCTTGGCTGGGGCATAGGTTGTGGCTGCGACGTGACCATGGCCAATGCGCTGTTTTGGGACCACGAATTGGACGGCTGATGAAACGCCGTCGCGTGGACCTCGCTGTTTGGGGAGCCCGCATTTACCAGGGGCGCCGCTGTTGTGGCCTGCGGGCTCGATGCATCCGACTGAGGCGTCCCCATGGCTACGCTACTTGCATTCTTGGACGGCCAGCAGGCACTAGCGCCGTCGAAAACATCCAAATGTAGGTTCTTTGTCAAGCACGCTGCGAGCGGCATATCTAGAAGCCTCCCTCGAGATTTAGCTTCCCGATACGCCCACACGGGACAGGATTGGCACGGCACTCGAAGGTGCCGCTGGGCGAGCTGCATATGCGAAAAGAAACAGCCGGAAACGCCGGACAAGGTGAAACCTCAATATTCCGAATGCGCAAAAAACATTTCTTAAGGCAGCTGATCAACCCCGCCTGAACTCCCCTGCGAATGCGATCTGGTGAGCTAACGACCTAAGTTCGCGCCAAAGAGCACTCTTGTCGAATCGCTACTAGCCATTACGCAGCTATACATGAGAAATATGGTAATATGCAACTTATTATTTGCTTGGTGAGACTGTAAATATGTCAGCTGTTCTGACGAGGACGCAACACCGGTCTAATGTAGGCGGGCTGCGCTAGCGTTCATCGCCGAGCTGCGGGTCACGCGCCGCAGTACCGAGAAATATAATGCTTACCTTATTAACACTATGGACCTGTGCGTCGCACTGCGGACAGAGGAATGCGCCTGCAAGGAAGACAAGGAACTTAAGCGACAAGACCACATCGTCGGCGGCTGGCGCCTTTCATTACATGCCATGATGTGCTACACGAGGCAAAAGAAACTGTGGCCATCATGTGCTTACCGTCGGAATGGCAGAAAACGCTTGCGAGCTTCGCATCACAGTGGTCACAGACCACTTTGAAGTTTGAGGAGTCCATAGTTGCGGAGTGAGCTGGCAACTCGCACAAGCTGGAATCAAGCACTGTTCACAAGAAGCCCGCTAAATCGGGCCCCTTGGAACACGCAAACTGTAGGCTGCCTCAGAGCTCAGCGCCGGCACACTATTTGGAGTAGTCCCGGAAGAAGTATCTGTATGACACTAATATTAGATTGTTGATTGTTAATTCAGTTCGTCAACAACTAATCTTCTTGCTTACAGTTAAGCACGGGGTGCCCCATTCGAAGCCAACGCGCTCACATGGGCGAGACATCCGTACTACCTCCAGGGTGGGGCCCCCTCCCCAGTGCCCTTTTCGAGGTAAGCTAAGCCAGTTGGACCAATGCAACCTGCCTAACAATATGTGTGCGTTTGGTGCTGTAGGTAGGATTTTGGCTTACAGGTAAAGTGTGCCTCGCCCACCGCGGACGAAACGATGCGCGATTGCGGATGATCTTCATCTTTATGTGCTGGAGGTGAAACTGTATTAATGCTCTTACGCCAAAGCTAACTGGCCCCATTCGGGGGTCACAGGCCCGCGCCTGGCACGCAGCTACTGTGGAGTTCGCGCGAGCTTCATGAAATGCCGATGCATCGAGTTTGTCCGCACATGTTGCGACCTGCATCGTGCCTCTACGGGATTGGTCAAGGATGGCCGTGATGTACGGCTTCCCGATCCCACCCACCCACCCCGTCGGCTTCCGCATACGGCAAATGTAGATTCTTTGGGTCGCCCGTCTGTTGCCTGCGCGCTTGCTGAGGCATGCCTAAAGCGTCCTAGAGCCTCTTAGGGCCTCTTGGGATTCTGAACTTTTGCCTTGAACTTGTTATCCTCTGCTTGTTTTGCGGTTTGCAACACCGCCCCGGCGTCCAGCGGCAGACCGCGTATGGGCTGCTGCAGTGGCTCCACTGCGCCATACGCCGTCGTCCACGTCACGAATCCGAATGCAAACCCTCTATCGCTATCATTTTCTCTATTCCTCCCCTGCCGCGTCGTCCACGCCCTCTCGCTTACCGCGGGAGGGATACTTGAGAAATGGCCGCGACGAGTGCGTGCGGAGAAAGAAACGACCGGCAAGAAGAGCGCTATTCAGAGAATACGCAGGCATAGCTCCCAGGCACTCCTCCCCAAAGGGGAGACTGCTCCAACTTCTCCCCGGGAATACAAATCGACCAAAACCTGCTTAGGCAATAAGTTCCCGAAATTAAATCGGGTGCTATTGGCGTGTAAGGAATTTGTGTCCGAAACACGAATCAATTACGAAGCATGCAGCGCAGCTGGCCAAGTCGCTCCGACAACCAGTCCGCGGACACACGGGAAGGGCCTGATTAGGATACCTTTAGCCAGGCAAATGCCCCGCGGGGGCCGCTGCGGCCGCTGCCAACCCCTGCATCCACACCTCATTGCAGCTCAGTTAAGCTAGTTAGGTTATCGTCTCTCTGAGAATGGCGCTCCGTCCTGTTGGCGTACTGGGGCGGCGGAGTATGCAGGTTGCCTTGTGGTCTACAGGGCCCGCTTATCTTCGGGTTTACGAAACATAAGTGCTTGTGCGACGGGAACCCAACTGGTTGATGTTTGCGATGGATACCTCCTCATTGCAGCTTTGACACTAAAAATAACTCCTAAAGTAGTTTCCTTGCCTCCCTGTATGCATGTGTGTGTGTGTGTGTGTGAGAGGGAGGGAGTCTTACATGGGTGGGGGTGCGTGACCCAAACCTGTATAACTACCCATGCGAGCCGAAGGCCTATCTGCCCTCCTACCTTTCAGGGCGCTGCCAACAGTGGGTTGAAGCTTTTTACCAAGCAAAGCAGCGCGCTGGGCATCTCGGCTTAGTGGCGACATGCCGACGCGCCTGGTTGCTCCCGCAGCTAGCTGGCCGCGTCGAGGATGACCGTGCGAACCGCCGGCCGTGCATCGCGCCCTGCAGTATCCGTAGCCGCTGAATGGAAGGCCTGACTTCCACGTCGCAGTCAGCATTACAGCCCTTGGCTTTGGCTGCTGTGTAGGAATATGGATTTATTTCAGCGCTGCGTTGTGGGTGGGAAGCTGCCTGCAGGCAGCGGGGAGGTGAAGTGTAGGCAGCGGTACACGCAGTCTGAGGGGACGATCTGGGGGCGCCTTGGGGGGGCTGTGTGGGTGTGCTCATCGTATCAATCCTAACCTCCTATGCCCCAGTGGGAGCTTGCAGCTAAGACTGCATTGACGGGTCCCAGGCAGCTACAGGTACTAGGCATTGGTTGGCGGTTGGTCACGCGAGGCTAACGCGTTGCAGTACAGCTTTGCAGGAGAGCGCAGTTCACAACTTCAGCGGTGGGAATATGGCCAGTCGGAGTGTTTACCTTACCGTTGTGTGTCATAGGTTTGTGCTAAGCTGAGGGGAATGTTGACGGGGAAAGGAAATCGCGGCGGGGGGATCTGGGGTGCCAGCGGGGTACCCAGTAGCCGCACGCATGCAGGAAGCTACAGCCGCGCCGGCAAGACACCGTTTGAAATTACAACCCCGCGACATAGACAGGGCAGCGGGGCATAATGCAGGGAGAACTATCCTGACTGTAGTAGTGGCAGGAACAGGACCGGCGCCTCATGTGTGCCTGTATTCCGTTTCACCGACAGTCGTTTCCTACCTTGGTCAGGCGGGAAATCACGCGAAACCGAACTGGGTATAGCGCGCAACGAAGGGCTTTGGGCTAAATATTCTGATGGGCATAATATTCTCTTATTTTATTCTATATATTGTTAACCTATCAGTAATCACAGCTTTTGTTATCATGCGCTAGCACAGCATGGCACGTGCAGAGCACAAAGGGGCCAAGCTAAAGCATATGTAATGCACAAGGCAATTTTGGCTCATTATCGCTCGTAACGGATGCCAGTACGTTCCTTCTTAAGGTATCCTGTTGTGCTATCATAGCATAGCATAATGCTCGAAGAGCTGAGGCGCTTGCAGATGGCGACAATATGGCAATAGAACAGTCAGCCTGCAGACAAATTTCTTGTTTTCCCTACCTAGCTACGAATTAGTCCTCACGTGCACATGGCGGCCAACTGTCTTACCCTCAGGACAGCGGCCAGGCCAAGCCAGCGTCTGTACCTGCAAGTAAGGTGTATATGGGCAGCAGGGAGATGAATATTGAGTTTCTGTACTTTATGTCTCGTCGGCGGCGATTCGGGTAAATTGTTTCCCAACCGACATTTGGTTGTCACGTCTGGGGGCTGTTAGCACAGGTGAATCAAGATGGACCATGTGCCTTCTTGGACAAGCGCCACTTTCAGTGTTCAAAAACATCAAACCACTTTTGTAATTGGCAAAGAGTTTCTGCCTTATAAAAGCCTTCGCCGGGGCCCGACTCACACGCTAACGCAGTGGTTACTCATGCTACATGATTACTTCGTCTAATAGACTATTTCGTCTGTTGAATCTCCTTACAACAGCGTGAGCGCGTGTTAGGTACACCTTTTCGATAATCGCGTCGTTACAGGCCCTGAGGCCAAAGGCGCGCAGGAGGGAAATTCCACATGGCTCAAAAATTAAGGCTGGGAGCATTTGGCGGGTTTGCCTTTACCGCGCTTCTGTTTGTCGGTATCGCGACTGCCGCGGACCTCGCGTCGGTTTACAACACTTGTCGGAACTTGGCCAAAAGTAACCAGGCAGTCCACGGCTGCGTTACAAAAAACAGCGACGGGAGCTGGGCAGTTGTTGACCCCGGCCATGGCATGCTTGGGAGCGATGGCTGCGCAGCTAGCGGTACCTTCACCGACTCTTCGCAGACCGCAAGCAACTTTGGCAAATTGCGAATAGTCACCAGCAGCTCCTACAGCGACCTTGACCAGGCTTACGCGGCGGGCTTTCTGGAAGGCTACCTAACCGCAGGTGCGACGTCGTAGAACAAAAAAATGGACCTCGGGTGATCAGCACTCCACCTAACCAAAAAATGATCATCAATAGACAAGCTGGCTATCATATAGTTCTTGCTGAACGCGTTATTCCCAGGAGGAAAGCTTTTGGTGCCTAGAACGGTTGCTCCTAAGCCTGTCGGAGCATTTTGTCATATCCAAACGTTTCCCCTACCCCTTCCCGATGTTCCGGTTCTCATAGGCGTGGGTGCTATTTCACTCCCTCGCCTTTGGCCGTCACCTTTCTCTTCACCCTCTCAAAACCTCTTCTACATTTCCCGCCATCTGTCCCCACCCCCCGCGTCAGCAACTAACTTACTTCACCCCCAGGTTGTCAACAATGCCGCCTCCAGCGCCCTTGTAACTCACATGGCCGCGTCCCCTCTTCCCGCGGCCTTAATCCCTCTCCCTGCCCGCCCCAGCCCGCATATACGACCACCACTACAACCTGAAGCAATACTTCGTGGTCATGCTCAACGAATCGGAATCCCTGGAGCTGTCTCTAAATTGGTGGGCATGTGACAGTGGGATATCCAGCGCGAAGGGACGCGTGTTGTCTGTGCCCTGCCCTGCCTTTGCCGTGCCCTGTTGTGTTGCATCATGTCATGCCACGTCATGTCATGTCCCTCTCGCTCGGTCAGGTTGGAGCGTCAGGAGGAGTGGGCCAATGCCCAGGTCCGCAGCCCTCCCCCCGGGGAGGAGGAGCCGTACTGGCAGCTGCTGGGGCTGGTGCAGGCGCAATTCGAGGGGCTGGTGGGGGGCTACCAGGCCAGAGCTAAGCAGGAACAGCAGCAGCGGCAGCAGCAGCAGCGGCAGGAGGCACGCAGACTGGCAGGAGGTGATGGAGGCCGCAGTGGCAGTGGCGAGGGTGGTTATGGTGATGATGATGTACGGGTCGGCTGGCTCGAGCGGCGGGACCTCATGTTCATGAACAGCAATGGTGAGTCGTGTTGGTACCAACACGGGTACACCAACACGGGCACACCAACACGGGCACACCAACACGGGTACACCAACACGGGTACACCAACACGGGTACACCAACACGGGTACACCAACACGGGTACACCAACACGGGTACACCAACACGGGTACACCAACACGGAGGGCGCCTTAGGGGTCCGCAGCAGCACCAGGGGGGGGGGGCACCAGGGGTGGTGGTGGTGGTGGTGGTGGTGGTGGTGGTGGTGGTTTCCCTCCTCGACTTGTGCACCTGGTCGGTCACCGCCACCGCCACCCTCAACCTCCCAAGTCGATACTCAAGTACTTACCGCGTGCGAGGCCTGCAGGTGACGTGTACGACATCATTGACGCGCTGGAGGCTGGTTTCGGAGGCGAGGTTGAGAACGGTACTGGCGAAGGTTTGCTGCCTGGAGCCGTACGGCAGGGGAGGGGGCGGGGTCGGCGCAACCCCAAATGGGCGGATGTGGATCCGGATCCTGTACGGATGTCCCTCAAGCTGGGACTGCAGGGTGAGAGAGGCAACGGGATGATGTTTGTGTGTGTGGGGGGGGGCGTGTTTTGGGGGGTGAGGGGGTTTAGGGTTTGGCGGCTGGGGGATATTGCGATTCCTGCATTCCTTCTTTGTACAGTTTTTAGTTGGTAGTTTCTGAACCCCTGACCCGCCGCTGATGACATGGCACGACGTGACACGGCAATACACGTCCTCTCGGCAGCCTCCCCCCTCCTCACGCGGCAGCCTCCCAGCTCCCCCATGTGATCTCTCCCTCCCACCCCCCCCCCCCGCAGTCAGTTCTACGTCTGGTACACTCTTGCCCCCCTTGGCAGCAGCTTCACTCGTTTGTGGTTCGTCTTCCCCCCACCCCACCCCACCCCCACACATACAACCCCTCAGGCAAGTGTTCGGCGCTGATCAAGGTGACGGGTGACCTGGGGGAGCTGCTGTTGGGCCACTCCACCCACGACTCCTTCACCGCCATGACGCGCATCTACAAACATTACGACTTCTCCGGGCTCAGCAACACAGCGGTGGCGGCTCCGAGAATGTCCTTCAGCAGCTATCCCGGTGGGGTGGGATAATGTTTATGAATAATTTTATTTTATTATTGCACCTAAAAATTCATTACGTTGTACTAAATTTTATAATATTATATTTAATAAATGTTTATTAAGCACAAGGTTTCTTTTTTCATTATTACTTATTTATTAAGTCTGTTTATTAAGCATTTTATTTTGTGTCGTACTAATCTTTACTCTTCTCCCGCCTCCAACCCAACACACGTAGGTGAGCTGTTCAGCGATGACGACTTCTACCTGCTCAGCAGCGGCCTGGCAGTGATGGAGACCACCAACCACATCTACGTGGGTGACGTGTACGCCCCGCTGTCGTACCGCTGTGTCCTGTCGTGGCAGCGCATCCGACTTGCCAACTGGATGGCCAGCAGCGGGGGCGAGTGGGTGGATGTGTTTGGCCGCCACAACAGCGGCACGTACAACAACCAGGTGGGTTATGAACTGAGGGGTTCTAAATGATTGGAGTGGGGGGAAGAGGGGGGGGGAAGAGGGGTTTTGGGTATTTGTAAGGTGTGGCAAATGGGGCTCTGGTATCTCTCTTTCCGAGGGGGGGGAGAGGAGCGGTGAGAATACACAACTACTACGGGGTTTGCCCGGGGTCCCACATGTATCATTTCGTGTCCTCCCAGATGCATGCTTTCCTTTGTACGACATTTGCCGTACCTCCTCTTGCTGTTGCTGCTGCTGCTGCTTATTTTGCAGTACATGATTGTGGACACGAAGCGATTCATCCCCCATTCGGAGTTGCAACCCGGGCTGTTGTGGGTGGTGGAGCAGCTGCCGGGTCTTTTCAAGGTGTGTTTGTGTGTGCGTGTGTGTATTGGGGGGTGATATTGGTGGTCATAACGGATGGCGGGATTATGAAATGGGGGGGAGGGTGCACGGGATGGGAAATATCGAGTGTGGCGGTTTTGGGTGTGGTGGGAGATGAGCTGGCTGTGTTTTGTTTTGTTGTTTCCCCTAACGGCGCTGCAAGAGCCTCTGCTGGTCTCTCTTCCCCTTTCCTCCGGGCCTCCGAAACCCCGGTATTCCCCCACTGCTCGTGTGTATGTATGTGTGTGTGTGCAGACCGCAGATGTCACGGCGGAGCTGAGCCGCGGCTACTGGCCGTCGTACAACGTGGCGTACTTCCCAGAGGTGTACGTCGCGGCGGGCTATCCCGACATGGTGGGAGCAGGGGGCCATCAGGGCCGCGTGCGTCTGTATGTATGTATGTATGTTGTTACAGGGTGGTTAACTTCGCCAGCGGCCCCCTTTCCCGGGGCAGTCCCTGCTCTCCCCTGCTAGAGGGGCACCCTAATCCGTCACCCCATCCGACTTCAGAATGTATTCGTTGGGTTCGGCAACTCACCACCAGCATCCAACCAAATCTAGCGGATCAACGGCGCATCAACTTAGTTCCTGGTCAGCTCGCAAGTTGATATTATCACGTCCTACACCGTCCATATGATGGGGGGCCACCTCCCATTTCATCACTCCTCAAACACCCGAGGAGCCGGCAGGCGGATTTGAACCCGGATCGACTGGGAGCAGAAGTCAGGCCTTAACTTCTGCCAGCCGCCTGCATATGTATGTATGTATGGATCGCCGGGTGCCCGCCGGGGCGAAGGTCATACCCCTGTACGACACGACCAAACTCACGCAGCCGGGGGCCGCCATTGCCGCCGGCGGCACCCGCAGCCCTGCAGACCACTCGCCCCAGAGACCTTTTCCTTCCTAGGCTTTTCCTCCCCTCTCCCTCGCAGCTCTCCGTCCTCCAGGGTTTCGAACGCCGACAAGTTGAAACCCCACGTCCGCAGCCCCCCATCAGTTCACACCGCACGACGACTCCCTCCAGCGCTCCCTGCAACCCACATTCCGTCCATGCAACCCTAACCAATTAATCAACCAACCAATCAACCAACCAACCAACCAGATTGAACGTTTGACGGCCATGGGCGCTAAGAAGTACGCCTTCAGCATCCGCCTGCTCAAGTACCAGATCGCACCCCGCGCCGCGATCTTCCGGCGGGACCAGGGGGTTGTGGACAGCTTGGAAGCCATGAAACACATCATGCGGTACAACGAGTGGAGCAAAGACCCGGTGGGGGGCTTGTGTGTGTATGGGAGGGGGGAGGGGAGGGAGGGGAAAGGTAAGGAGGGGGCGGGGGAGGGGAGAGGTAACGAGGAAGGAGGGGAGGGGAGAGGAAAGAGAAGGTGAAAGAAGAGGAGGAGGAGGGAATACGGCAGATGGTGTGTCCGTGTGCATATGTGTTTTGAAAAGGACGTCACCTTCAAGTGAAACGCGCGCGAGCGTGTGTTGT